GTGATTTCACCACTCAACCCTAAATTTCACAAAAAATACGGGGGAGGAAATTCTTGCACAAACCATTCATTTTCATTCTAAATCATTCAAAATATACATTTCCCTATTTGTATAAGTATTTTGACTTACATAAGGTTTACACCCAAACTAACTAACCTAAGGCATAAAATACACAAGATTTATACCATGGTAATACAAGTAGTACAAAAATTTGATGAATGAGTCCTATTTAACAATTCAATAACATAAACACACATAAACAAAGCAAAAAAGTATAAAAATAAAATTTACACTGAAATCCTAAATCTCAGTACACTTTCCTTGATCTGGATCCGATGAACTAGGGCTTAAAAATATTGAAGATTGGGGTGAGTATAACCACTCAATAATTGAGGTCTACCTAATTATACAGTTGTATATTAATTAAAAACTGATGCAATTGGCAACAAATACATATATAATGCACATATGACAAACATAGCCACGATCATAATAATAACAACTGTGTAATCGGGCATAAAACATATATCATCATGTTTATACCAATTATGCACAATATGGGGCCACAAAACTAACAATCATGAACCCTTAAGACACACCAGACCACAATGATAACAATCATGTTATTAGAACTAAATGCATGATCAATGCCAACCTTATACCCTCTTGTTACCTCCAACTTGAAATCGATGGCTATTAAGTGGCTATCTCCTCAATATGAACTAACCCAACCTTTTACTTGTGAGGATTTACTGGGTCAAAGCTAAGTCACTCACTTGTGTATTGTGGTTTCTCCTAATATTAACAATTACGAGGTGTTATACCCATAATCTAGCCTCTTTATGAACTGGTAGAGGCTAGTTAGATTCGAGTCCTTCATAAAACGAGTAGGACAGTCTCGAATCAACTATAGAATAAAGGCTACCTCCTAATTTTAATGATAGGTGTCAAGGCAAGCTTTCAATTTTAATGGTAAGCTGCTAGTACCATGTGAATTTAACCATCTATTCCTATTCTCAGACGAACTCTTATCGATGATCATGCTATGCATATATTACACATATTATGCAATTTAACCATTAACTCATCTCATATCTCATCCGTAGGCATATTCTCTCCACTAAAAAACCCATATCAAATATTACTCCATTATTCACATGTAATCATGTTCTTACATATCAATATCAATCATAAATATCCAAACATGCATACCATTTGTCTATGCCCACATGCAATATTCATTTTACACCATAACTATGTTACTAAAATTGCATTAATAGTTTTCACATGCCAAACAAGTTTCAAAGCATTAATTTCAATAATTATCTAATTAACATACAACTATATAAAATAGGTTTCCCCAAACTACCTTAAATTTTTGAGAGGTCAAAGGTTTGCCCCTCATAATAACCACTTCCAAAGCTTCTAATTTAGTTTGAATGGTGCCAATATCGATAATCTATAATCATTTCACAATGATAACATTATTATCCCATTTTTGGTAATTTTCAATATTATAACTCACATTCTCCTTTTCATCAACCTCATAAATTTACTATCCATCATAACTAATGGTTTTATTAGGTTTTGTTAAGCCACATTATTACTAATAAGTTCTTAAACCATCATTAATGGGCATCAACACTTCCAACAATCCCATTTATTGCAAAATGCAGATATTAATGGCTCTCATCTATTAATCACTTACAAAACCATTAATGTAGGGTTTAAATACTATAAATAACTCTCATTATATCTATTTTAGTCAATGGATTCAAACCATAGCTTATATAGACCTAAAATCACTCTCCTAACTTTAACTTTAACTTTCATCCTCATAAATATGGAAATAGAGAGAAGAGGAAAGCACATTACACATACCTTGGGTGTTAGAAGGCTTTAAAATATCCTCAATAGGCTCTAATATTGTGCCCTAATAGAGTCAATTTTTGTGTTCTTGTGTTTTCTCCTTTCCTTTTCTCTATTTCTCACACATACACAAACTAACTTATGTAGAATTTTGGCAATGTGCCGTGGCACACATACTCTCCTGTCACGGTGCATGGCATAGAGAGGCCCAATTTACCTTGATTGCCTTCGTGCACCGTGGCAGACATTCCTAATGAATCGCCATGTGGCACGCAGGATTTTTCTTCTACTTTTGATGCTCGAATGGCTTGACTTCACTTTAGACTCGCATTTATAGTTGAAATTAAAATCAAATACACTTATTAAACCCCTCATGCTACTCACCTCATCAATTCACTAATTATTCTTATTAAGCTTAATTAATTAGATTTAGAAATCTGGATGTTATATAATGTAGAAGAAAGGTTGGTCATATAAAGGATGCTAATATTGTATTGGCAAAATATATACTAGAGGCAGTAAATTTCTAAGCACAAGATTAGTTGATGCTAGGATGTTCGAAGGATCACTTGGAGTGATCTATGCATTTTCTATGTTAAAAGCTATGCATATGAGTTGCAGCTGTGGTGGAAAAGAGAGGAAGATGACATTTTGAAAAACTAAAAGGAAATTTTAAAGAGGATTCTATTGAATTATATTCTTAAAGCTTGTATAGATGACACTTTGTAAAGATTGTATAAATGATAATTTTTTCAAGTTTTATCTCCTATAGATGAATAATTTTTCCTATGATTATGTGTATCATGTATTATCATGTTGTAATGTAATTACTATGTTGTCAAGCAATGTAAGAACACATATTTTGTAATGATAAATAAATTTGTCCGTGTTTAATTATTTGTCTTTATGCTTTAAGTTGGAGTTGAAAGCCTAAGTACAAAACAAAAATGGGATTGCAAAAAAAATGCCTTATTGTACAACAAGAGGAGTAAGAGATTAGTAATATCTATACTAACAATGCTGAAAGAGTAAAAATCTTAGAATATTCATAAGTGTTTTTATGAAAATGAAGTAAATTTTAAAATAACAATTTACATTTTCAAAACATCATTTGGTGTTTTTATGAAAAATTAGAAAATTTTTAAAATATTCATTTAGATTTTCAAAATATCCATGTACATTTTTAGAATAATCATTTGTGTTTTTTGAATATCCTTTGATATTTTCGTAAAAAAGAAAAATTTTTAAAATATGCATTTGTAATATTATGAAAACACAACATTAGTGCAATATCCAAATATAAATCCTAAGCCACATCAAATGTACATTTTGGATATCCTGAAAATAATTTTTTTTTCATTTATTTGATTTGGATTTCTTGAATATTTACACTTAGTATTATATTTTAGAATTATATATAGGTATCTTCAACTATATATGACTTTCTTAACTAGTGTTGGAGCTAAAATCTTGAATCAAGGGGCGAAGCGAGGACCTTAATACAAAAAAAAAAATCTTTTTGTCTCTTCAAAATTCACTAAATCTATTTTCTTTTTTTTTTATCTTTGTTCCTTAATTCAACTTTCAATTACAAACTTACAAGTACAACTAATTAGTGAAAATCACTCAATGAGTTTACTCTTAATTCTTGAATCTTCATTTTTTATTGTCTTTTTTTCTAACTAATATTTTTAAGATGAGAAAAATGTGGGTCTATTTTGGTTAACAATGGTGAAGCCAAGACCTTGCGTCAGGAGGTGAAAATTAATTTAAAAAATAATAATTCAAAATAATAATTTAATTTTTTTTAAAAATAATCATATATTTTATAATTGTCCCCTACTTATTGTTAAATGTTATTAAAAATATTTTCTTTCATATAAGTCACTATTTTATAATATTACTTATATATAAAAAATCTATAAATATATATAATAATCAACTAGAAAATTTTAAAAAATAAAATAAATAAATAAATAAATTATTTTTTAAAAAATCATATTAGAGTTTTCCATTTAGTGGATTCAAAACTAAACTTAAGTTAAAACATTTACAAAAAAAAAAAGGTCAAGATTTCAAGGGGTGCAAAATTTTGTAACCAAAGACAAAGAGGATAAAAAACAAAATCTATACTATTTATTTATAATTTCTTCCAAATTGAGGGGTTACGTATGCTTCCCTCAAGTACATGTGGCTCTGCTATTGTTAGTCAAATTTTTTTTAATTTTTTGAAGGATTAATAAATAATATTAGTATTTAAGTACAGTAAAATTATAGACTAATATTCATTAAGTTGAATTAAAACATTAAATTTTAGATTTGAGCTAAATTTAATATTAAAGTGGGTTTAAAGTTTAAAATATTAAAATAAAGGATGTAAAGTAAAAAAAAGAGAGGGAGCAAACTATAAAATATAAAAATATATATCCCAAACATGTTATTTTTCTCAAGTATATGCCCCCCTTAATAACATATTGCTCTGCATGCAATTATCCTTTAAAAAAATATAATTTTTTTTATTTATTCAAACAATCATTTTAGATATTTTAAAAATTTTACATAAAGTGTCATGTTTTATGATCACATGTAAATATTTTCAATCATATGTAACTTTTTTTTTGAATATATAACCACTCCTTGAAAATATGTAATTTTTCTTTCATTTATTTAAATATTTATTTTGGACTGAAAATTTTATACTTAATACCATATTTTAAATTATAAAATTAAAATTGAAATCAGAGCCGCTTATATAAATAATGATAAGAAGTCATGATTGATATATTTTTAGATAGTTGTTATATTTAAATTATATTAATTTTTTTAATAGATATCATATTTAACAGATAGCAAGATTGCATTACTTTAAGCATCGTCAACTTATAGGATATTAAAAGATTACAAAATTAAATAATGATAACGATAATAATTTTGTCAGATGATGATGATGATGGTAAGATACATATTTAATTTCTCGTAGATAATGGCCCAAATAAACTGAATAATAATGATAATTAGTTTCTGATATAAACTTGGTTTGATTTCGATGGTTTTCCTGTGCGAAATTCCTTCTTCTCATTCGACATTGCTTTGATTCTCAGCCTCTAATTTCTTCTGCTTTGTCTGATAGATTTCGAGTGAGATTTCTTCCTCTCCGTTGATTACTTCAGGTATTTTGCTTGATTCTCAGCCTCTGATTTATCTCCTTTCGTTTGAGGGATCTTTTTCCCCTTGGCCTAGCACTATGAAGCATATGCGAGTGGACGGTGATACGCCGTATCTTCCTGAAGAAATCATCACAAACATTCTCAAAAGACTACCTGTAAAATCCCTAATCCGTTTTCAATGCGTATGTAAACATTGGAAAAATCTCATCCAGACCCCATGTTTTGTCGCTGACCACGTCCACCACTCCACTCATCAAAACCCTTCGCTTCTTTTCTCGTGTGATTATTCACGTAAGCCTTTACGTTTGCTCGATTGCGAGATGCAAGTCCGACAAGTTCAGAGCACACCTTTGATTGATTCCTTTTCGTCCGTTAGGATCCTGGGTTCCAGCAATGGCTTGCTCTGTCTTGCAGGCCAGCAGTCTGATTTATCTCCTTCTGCCCTCTTATTATGGAATCCTGCCATTAGAGAGGTCAGGCAGTTGCCTAGCACCAAAACTACTATTACTGTTAAGGATAGTATCACGGTAGGATTTGGGTTCAGTCCAATTCTTAATGATTATAAGATAGTGCGAACGTATGCTGAGTCTGGTTATGCAATTTCTGGGGTGGAAGTGTATTCATTGAGCACAAATTCATGGAGAAAAATAGAATTTGGGAACTTAGAGGCTGTGCGTCTTCTTCCTTATGTTGTTTCTGTTAATGGAAGTATCTTTTGGCATGCGTTAGACTTAAAAAAAGAGGTGGGTGAAGATAGTTTTGAAATTATAGTTTCATTTGACATAGCAAGAGAAGTGTTTAAATTGATACCATGGCCTGCTTTATGTTGTCGTACTTGTTTTGGGATTAGTCGGCTTACTGTGTATGAGGACAAACTTGCTATGCTTCATTCTCATGGAACTGAAGACATTCAATATTATTTGATTGATTTGTGGGTGTGGGAGGAACAGGTGGATTCGTGTGGGAAGAGATGGAATTGGAGTAAGAAATATGCTAGTAGCCCTCGTCCATACATGTTATATCCTGAGTCCATTTGGAGGAATGAAATTGTAGGCGTTGGTTCTGGAATTTATAGGCCTTCACTTGCTTGTATCGGAGATATTTTTGACACTGATCTTGCAATGCTGAGTGAGGAACCAAAACTTGGTCTGCATCTATTTAATGTCGCTACCAATGAAATTAAGAGGTTTGACCTCCATAGACATGACGTTGGTGGTGTAGTTTCCAATTATGTGGAAAGCCTTGTAAGTTGTGACACTTGGCAACATTCACGTTGATGAACCTTGATTGTAAAAGTTAATTATTAGTTTATTACCATGAATGTTTGCTTTTGCTTTTTTTTTTTTTTGGCTGAAACATGAAGCCCTATCAGTTTAGATCATTCAATAATTATCTGTTTTGATGTCTTTTATAGATATTATTAAGAATTATTAATGTAAATATTCAATACCAGATGTTTCTAGTTTATTTGACCTATCTATCAGGTTGTTCAGTTTCCTTATATGTGTGTGTGAGTGATTTTATTATAAGATATCTCATGACTGGTTAGATTTCAAACTTTGTGCGAAGATCTCATTTCAATGTGTCATCCTTCATCACAGTCCACCTCTGCAACTCTTGCTCACATAAGTTTAGTGTTTCATGGTTTTGCAACAAGTATTAATATTCATTGCTTGACTTCCATCGTTGATATTGATACATGTAGAGGGTTTGAACTTGCAATTTACTTCTACAACGTCATCAAACGATCATAAAAAAAATTGTGGCTTTTAGAACAACATTGGATGATTTTGGGGCATTTGATCAACATCTTTAACGATCAAAATACACTATTAAAAATGTGAAACAAGTAAAAGAGCAAATTGGCTCTTAAATATTAAGTCCAAGAGTGCTTGGAATTCTAAACTCATTAATTGTACAATATTTTTTTCAACTTTTGAAAACGGTGTAATCTAACTCCTATCATTAATAAAAGTTAACTTTGACTGTTAGTGGATCAAAAAAGACAAAAATTACAAAGTATGATCAATATTGGTCTTTTCTATAGCCTTATAAGTTTTTATCTCTAATTTTTGGGTCATTTATGGCTATTTTTTGATCATTTCCTGTATTTTTTTAATGTCATTTTTTATTATTTTCTTGTCAATTAACAGTTAAAATTGACATTTGTTAATGATAAAAGTTTGATAGTACTATTTTTAAAAGTTGAAATGGAATATTACACATTTAATGAGTTTAAAATCTTAGTTAAAGTAGAACATTGTATATATTGTAAGTTTAAGATTCTCAACACCCTTGAATTTATAATTTAAGGACAATCTTGCTTTCTTGCCAATAATACTCTCATATAAAGCTTGTTAACATTCTTACATCAGAGTTCTTTTATCTTTGTGACTTTTGTGACCACAAATTCATATTAATTGTCCCTTGATAATTGACAATTTGACACACCAAATAGGAATCAATTTTTATCCCATCCTACTTTCTTGGCAATGATGGAGAGGTATTGGAATCTATTTTTCTCCCCTCCTACTTGGCAATGATGAAGATAGGGCTGTAGAAAGGATAAGATGGCATTGGATTTCACTCTAACTCGAAGTCCGATTTCTTTCATAAAAAGGATTGGAGTAGGCAACTAGTAATTTAGTCTTGTCCAATGATTACTTGAAAATTAACATGATCGAACTTGGTCGATAAGATTGGGAGACTGGTCTTACCAGCCCAATACTCATTTAGCTTTTTTCTCCTTTTTCTTCTATGATAGGTAATCATCCATTTCAACTAAATAAGCTCAATTAAGATAGTAAAAACACTTATAATGATGATAATAACAATAATAATAATAATAATAAATTCATAGTAATTTTCAACAATAAGAAAAAATATTTTTATTATAGTCCAAATGATTTAAATTTATAACTTTAACAAAAATAGCACTTAACAAATTTCAACAACACTACATTACAACAACAATTTAAAAACAAACTCAACAAATCTTTATATAATTATCTCCTTAGCATCAATTACATTTGAAGTATTTGTCAAAAATAAATTAAGTATAATTATAATAAAAAATTAATAGGACCGGATTAGACCAAATGGTTTGGATGCCTAGTCTCTTATCTAGTCCAACTTAAAGAAATAGCTTAATCTTTTCAGTCTTTTTAGTCTTGAAGGACTAGTGTCTATACAGAGCGAACAAGACTGACACCATCTTAGATTGGACTGGGTTAAACAGGATTGAAGGACTTTTGCACAACCCTAAATAGAGAGGTCATTCTTTAAGGAATCACCTTGATTGCTGCTTTGTGAAGCTAAAAAGGCTTTAGATATGATCTCTTCAGAATCCAAAACAACAGCGATTTTAGAATGTTGTATTTTATTGATCTCTAAGCATCAGCTATGAGTTTAAGGATCATCAAGCTTACCTTGTTTTTTCGTGCAAAAAGATATATTATTAATTTAAACTAAAATTAAAGTATATAACAAAGCTTACCTTTCTTATATCAGTTCTTTTATCTTGTAAAAATTTGTATAATTTAACTCTTATCATTAATAAAAGTTAACATTGATTATTACTTGACCAGAAAAATGACAAAAAAGAACTTCAAAAATTATATAAAAGATCGATAAATTTTTTTTGATCATTTTTTGTAATTTGTTGAGTCTTTACATGTAATTTTTGATTCATTTACTATGATTTTCCTTGTTTTTTGTATTTTTGAGGTTTTTTTGTGGTCATTTTTTGGTTACTAATGGTTAAAGCTAATTTTTGTTAACAATAAGAGTTAAATCGTATCATTTTCAAAAGTTAAAAAAATATTACACAAAAAATAAACTTCAAGTCCAAATACATTGAATCTATAATTTAGAGACAATTTGCTCTTTTATCCTTTTAAATATGACAAAAGTTTCGATTTTTTTTGTTGGTATGTAGTATTAATAAATTAATTTATAATAATTAACACTTAAATGTACAGCAGTGGCACGGTTGAGATTAATTAACAAGAGAAGGGGAATGAAAGTTTAATCTCATTTCACTATAGATGTGTTTGGTTCAAGGAGAGGAGAGAATTTTAATGGAGGGAGAGGGGTTTGATGTTATATTGCTTGATTCAAGAGGGAATGGAAGGAAAAATAATTATATATAAATAACTTTACCTTCTTATTAGTATTGAAATACTGAAAAAATATATTTGCATCTTTTAAACTTATCATAGAAGACATATTAGTCAGGGTGTGATAAATTTTATCCTTCCCCTCTCAATTCCTCCAATTTGGAGGGGAGGGAAAATTTTTAATTTTTTGTTTTAAATTTTAAATTTTCCCTCCCCTCCAATTTTTCAAGTCAAACAAGAAGGGGCAAAATCTCTCCTCTCCAACCAAACACTCCGTACAAGTATATTATGTTAATGTTTATTTATCAAGAGAGACATTTGAATTAATAATGAATGGCACTGGGCATTAAAATATCATAGATTATTTTAAATGAGTGAATTAGTTATTGGAAATTAACTAAAAAATTAGATCACCACCATAAATATTACAACTCATTGAAAATATTAGGCATTTTTTAGAAGTTGAACATTAAAAAATGCAAAAAAAATTGATGTATTAAGGTATGATTAATGTGTATTTTCTAAAAAATGTCTTTAATAAATGAATCACATTATATTTATTTTAAAATGAAACACACTATAAAATAAATATAAATATAGAAATATTGTATTAGTGTTTTTTTTAATAAAACCTAGATAACATTATTCAAAAAGGAGTATGCATCAAGTTTCTACTAAGGTCTTACTTTTATCATCATTCTCCAACTTTCTACAATAAGATGGGAATTGATCATAAGAGCAAAAGTGACTAGGATAATGAAAAGCATGACTAGCAAGTAAATAAGCACGAAGATTGGCTTCTCTAAAAATAAAATCGAGAGAAATAAAACTATTGCTGTACCAGAGGAATCTAGCATATTCAATTATATCTCTGTAAGGGTGGAGTTCAATATCCTCTCTAGTAATCAAGTGAATCACTTCCGGACAATCCATGTAAGATTTCACTCTAACATGGCCCAAATATTAACACAATTCCAACCCTTGAGTTAAACTCAATTTCTGTAATTGCAAGTGGTAAGCTACCCGTTGTTAAATTATAAGATGCTATCCACTTTGCATTGGTATTTCTAACAACCCCACAGCAATATGAGCTACCATCTTTATAAGATCCATCCGCATGCAATTGAACTTCTAATTCATTAGGTCGAACCCAGCTATTGAGAGCATTCAATGTAACTTTTGCCATGGCATTGGAGTTGTTAACTGATAGAACTCATTTGTTACACACTTTTATATATTAATTAGTACAATTTATCATGTGTCATTAGCTCAAAGTAGAGGTATTCAATTTGTATCTGTCCCGATCGACCCGGCTTGGTCTCAACCCAAAAAGAATCAGGACAAAATTTTGTGAAATGAGATAGAAAAGGGGTTTGGGATGAATATGGGATTGCCCTCAGGATGTCCCGTCCGTCTTGAATATTATATATATAATTTATTATTTTAAAAATATATATTAAATATATTAAATATATTAATATAATTTATACTTATTTTAATTATATTACTTATAATTTCAACACGTGTAATTTTTATTCAAAATTAAAAGTTTCTATATTAATAATTTTAATGACATAAAGTAAGTAGTATAATGTAATATATTAATTATATTAATACAATTTATTTTTATATCTATCAATTTAATAACTTTTGTTTATATTGTATTTCTTCCTTTATTTTCATAAGAGTAACTAACTTTATATATCTCAACTAAAGACGAAGAATAATGATTTGATATTGTGTTTAACTTGTCTATTGTTGTTCTTATAGCACAAAGATTACTTGTAATTGCTATCATAATGTGTTATACACTTGTAGTTGTGATTGATGGAATTTGATAATTTGACTTTATTGTTATGATTTATGTATTGTTGTTGTTTTGATTTTAAACTTAATAAATTATGTGACTTAAATTTTAATGAATGTTATTATCCAATTTTTTTTGTCCATATTGTCTGCTTTATCGAGACAGTGGGACATCTCAATCTCATCACTGTTCTATCCTAATTTCTAACAGGATGAAATAATTTTTGTGATGGGATGGGACACGGGATAAGTGTGTCCCAATCCCATCCTGTCCCGTGAACACCCTTAGCTTAAAGTGCACACATATTGCACTAAAATTTAAAATTTGCCTAATTGTTTATTTTTTGTGCACTTGAGGTATTTTGATTTCAAAAATAACTTTTGACAAAATGTACAA